GGACAGGACTGGAAATTCTGTAGAGAAATGGAAGCTCAGCACATTTAAACTACTTGTCCAGCAGATCAAACTTGGGCTTCTGACTTTTACTCAAAGGGGCAAGAGGAGCCAGCCAGCCCCATGTGGGACTTTTTGGGATAAATAGCCTTTGCATTTGGGAAAGACATTCATTCTACTTCACAGATGAGTAAATACAGTTAGGTGGGAATCGGAACCATTCAGTAAGCGTGGCATGCACAGAATGATGCTTGGAACTATATCGTCATGACTCTGTTGATCGTTGTCCATCTTGATTTCCTTGGTGACAAGGGACATGTGGCTAAAGACTTCTCATCCTGTACTTTCTAGCTCTCATCTTGCCCCTCTTCCCCGCTTTCTGTCATTTGGGCTGTACTGGCATGTACACTCATTACCTCCAACTCACCAATGCCAAGCACCATTTAACCACGATAACTGGTTAAATTTGGTGACACTACCATAGTCCAGTCTAAGTCTGGCATCCTGATGTCTCCTGAATATTTGAGACTCTCTGTTCACCACTTCCAGTGTACCATGAAGCCCTCCACTATATCTAAGACAATCTGTCACTTAAATGCCTGCATGCCATTCTTGCCATCCCAAGGCCAGGCCTTGTGGCTTCCCACGGGACACAGTACATAGCCTCCCGCATGTATCTACCCCCTCCCCTCCTACTGCAACCTGCTTCCAGACCACACTATTGGAAATGCAGTGCTTCCTTGCACAATCCTGGACTTAGACCTATTCTTCCTGTCATGGTCTTCTAACCCAGTGTGCATGTGGATGGCCTGTAGAGACGTCAGCTACAGAGGCAGTACGCCACCCCTGAGATTCTGAGTCAGTATGGCTGAGAGCATCTGAGCTGTTTGGAGAAGCTTGCTGGTGACTGGACAGGACAGCCACCACAGAGAATCTCCAGATGCTATTTCAGCCTTTGAGGGCCTCTGTGGCCTGGCACTGGTACATTCTACTTGGTTCCACCTCAGCAAAAGAGTGTGCTCTTCACACTTTTTCCTCATCTTGGCATGTCCCCACACACCTCGCCACCATCTAGTCCTCCTTCCCCTCCTTGGTCCAGACTTCATGGAGCTTTTGCTTTGCCCAAGCTTCCCCTTTCTCTAAATTTTTCACAAACCTAGCATCTGTGCCTCAAGATTAAGCATCTATTGTTTTGTGAAGGGGTTCAGGTCTTGAATCAGACTGCAAGCTCTGTACGGACAGAGACTATGCATTGTGCATTTAAAAATATCATTTGTAACACTGATTATAGGTCTAGACACTCAAGAGGTACTAAAAATACTTGACTGAAATGGCTAATGTTGCATCTGAAATCATGATGTCGCCTATCATCCATGCCTACCTTGTACCTTATAACCATCTCCTTCTTCCTTTCCCTGAAACATCTTAGCCTGTATGCCAGGCAAACCCTCCTAATTCCAGAGCAGTTTCTAGAGTCTCATGCCATTGCTGATCCTTCCTGTCTTGCAAAACGGCAGAGCCTACAGACTCCCCTATTAGACATCAACCCAATGCCAGGGTGTCTTGGCACTTGCATGAATCTCTCCTAAAGCTTTGCTTGTCTTTTCATGCCTGCCAATCCTTCCTGGAGCTGCCCAAAGGGGAGCTGGATGGGACAGTGGGGAAAAAAGTTCTAATGATTCCCTTTTACAAGTTTGCTGCTGCCCTTTACTGCCTCTAAGTTAATATGTGTGGTTTCCAGCACATGCAAGGGAATAGGAATATGCCAGGGGAAGGTTGAGGTAGCGCTGCTTCCTGGGAAGGTTCTGCAAAGCAGTTGCCATGGCCCCAAGGGAAGATGGGCAACGCTTCTCAGAAGGAATGTGCGCAGGAATCAGATTCAGAAACCTCCCTCCTATCTGGGCTGACTGTTGGCTGGAGAGACCTTGGAGGTTTGGCTCTGCCACTTGCTTTGGAAAACAGTCCCATTCTGCACACAGAGAAGGGTTCAGATTATTATCCTAGACGCTAGTCCCTCTGCAAAAGCCTGCCCTGGAGGTTTGGCTGTGAATGACACTCTCTATACCCATGTCTCAGAAGACCAGAGTGATGTCTCTTCTGACCTCACCAGCCTGTTCCAATGCAGTGCAGCTGCTGTGGGTCCCTGTGAGTTCATCAAAGCTCGGTACCTTGCAAAGCCCATTACCATCTGGATCACAAACTCAACTCTGCATACTGAGACCCACCCTTCTTCTCTGGGGATTTGTTGCAACAAAAACAGCAGCTGCTATGGCAGGTGTGGCCTTAAGTAGCGATTACCATCAGGGGGGCACTCCTCCGTGTTGCATGACTGGTACTTGGCTCTCTGACCCAGGCAGTACTTTCCTCCATTCTGAGGCTGGGGATCTTTGCATTCACGGTATGAAAACTGTATTCCTCCTCCACAGGTCCGGGAACATTCTCCCCAGGGTCCCCACTGGGTCCAGCCGCCATCCACCACTGCCTGCAACATAACACCATGGAGTCAGGAGCACAAGAGAAGGGGCTTCAGTTGTGTGTGCAACCCACAGGCCTGACTTCCTCATCTGAGTATTTTCATCTGGCTGCAGGGTGTGCTATGAACTGCTGCAACCAGTGTTTAGTGTGCACGGCCTGCAGCTTTTTGAACAAAGAGTGCATGGGCTCCCTCCCTGCTGGTGTCTAAAGCAGTACCTTGCCTGTGGGTGGTCAGTAGGCACAAGTCTTTCATGGGAATAAGGTTGGCTTGAATGCGGTGGTTCTCTACTGAGGTGCAATCTGTCCCGAAGGGCAACATCTGAAGATGCCAAGGTAGTTCTAGTGGGGAAGGGTGTGGGGTGAGACCAAGAGTGCTACTAAATATTTAGCAGAGCACCGGTCTCGTAATAAAGCCTTATCCAGTTTCAAATGTCACCTATGTTGAGGTTAGAGACCCTTTTCTAAAGGCACATTTACTGAGAGATGTTGCCAGTGGTCTATTAGCTACTGGTTCCAGTGCTAGGATAATGCCCAGGAGATAAACAGAATCATTTCCAAGTTGATAACTAGCTTATGAGAATAAAGCTTTGCTCATGGTGAGTCTAAAGAGGGTGTGAAATTAAAATTAAAGAAATGAAAGTGATTAAGGTATACTATATGTGTGCACCAATTCCCTCAAATGAATATAACTATTCTGTATTACTAATATGGGCTAAAAAATAAATAATTAATTTTTAAAAATTATAAAAGTAATGCTTTTATAGAAAATGAAAAATACAAAGACTATAAAAAGAAAAACAATACTTTAAAAAAATCACTACACATACTTTTGTTCTGAATATATGATCATAAAAATGTATGCTTTCATTTACCAAGAAATGATTTTCTTTCTCTCATAATGTATATATATAATTTTAGGCTCTGCTTTTTCTCCTTAAAAATAGATGATAAAGATAATTCCGTGAGCATTTCATGACAGTCTGCCTGCATCTAGCTTGGTTCTTACTGGAGTGGGTAGATGGGTTAATCCCCTCTCCCCTCAGGAACAGGGAAGAGAATGCACGAGGAGCCCAGGCCGGGGCCTGGCGCTCACCCACGAACTTATACTAGGCTTAGGAGGAGTGTATGGCTTTACCAGCCCAGGGGGGCCCTGAGACTCAATGGCAAAGAAGAGCCCCTTGGAGCGTGCTTGGGCCACCCCACTCTTCAGTGCTGGGCAGGGGACCAGGCTGTGCGACCCAGCAGATGCTGCTTCATGGTGATGGCTCCGTGACTCGAAGTAAGAGAAATGCGATCACCCTCACAGTTTGGATGTATTGAGAGCAGGGCAAAGGAGTGAACCACTTAAAAATTTTCTCTGGCATTGCCTTGGTTTTCCCTGCAAATTTCCTCTATACAGGGCCAAGTTTTCTCCGCCTGGTCAGAGCCGGGCCTGATTCCTTCTCCCCTTCTCCTGTTGGAGTGTGGGATTCCTACAGCTTCTCTCATGCCCTTCACCTCTAACTAAGAATTCAGCTCAAATGTGGGGAGGTTATAAATGCTCTATGCTCAGCCCTTGATGAAATGTTTCTTCCCCACACCGTTCTATTTATAATGAAAATTCATAACGTCTCCCGTGTGGTGAATGTCTGCCTTCTGGTCTTCACACTTCCACCAACCTGCATGAGGCCTCCATTCAGCACCAAAGCAGAACCAGGGAGGACACTGTTGAGACACCTGACTGTGAATACAGCCTGTGAGGGCTCCTTGCCCATGTGGATAGATATGCTTTGGTTTGTTCAAAGATGATCTCTTAGTTCCTGATTCTCAGATGTGGTCCCCCTTTGAAAACAGCCCTCACCACCCTCCCTGCTCCTTCTTCCCTCCCCTCCTTCTCCTCCTCCCTCACCTTGGACCTCTCCACTTCCTCTTCTGGCAGACAGCTGCCATCCAAGCACAAGCGCCCCGGTCCACAGGGAGTGCCATCAGCCCAGTGCAGGCTGCCATTCCTTGTGTGGCAGACACCCTCATCACCATCCATTTGGCACCAGAGCTGAGCACATGTGTCCTGCTCAGAGGTGTTGGGGCAGTGGCGGTAACCTGGCCCAAAGATCTGCTTGCACTGTTGGTCCAGGTCATAGAGGGCCCTGCGGCCTGGGAGGTCCGTGGGGAAGGGCAGGGCCGAGGTAGGGGGGTCCAGGAGACAGTCCCCTGAGAGTAGAGGAAGCAGAGGAGTGAGAACAAGGCTAGGACCTGTCTCTCAGCTCTCTATGCCTCCCTACATTAGATTCAAGTCTCAGAAGAGGTGGTTTAAGGTCTAGGCGTCATGGTTTCCTTGACTCAGTCTGAACATGCCAGCATTTGATCATCTACCCAGAGCCTAGCTCATTTGGATGAACAGTAGCAAAGGCTTTTTTGGGACTGACATTCTCATGCTATCCAGAACATCTCAGGATGCATTACCTCTGGCAGCATGTGCCTAGTGAATGTCAACTAATTGTATGCTAACCCACATCACAATATAATGGAGGATGTAAATGTGTTCTGAGAAACTATGGCTGGCAAAGACAACCCAAATAGCATCAGCAGTACTAATGCTTGGACAATATACTATTTTCACAGTACCCATTTCCCTGCCTCCTTCAATGAGAAGAATCTAGACTGTGTAGCTTTGCTGCTTTAACCAACAGTCACCGTCCTAACAAGCACCCATGCCTTTGGTGCTTGCTCGCTCATGACTGATTACTGTTTCTCTGCTGCTGCTACGGCTACTGCTGTTGTCTTCTTTGCTATTTCAGAGCTATCATAAGATCAATCATTCCAGCCTTGAATACCCTCTTCTGTCCTCTTTGCAACACACGTTCTTCCATTCCTGCAAACTCTGCATAAACTCACCTCTTCAGACAATCTTTTCAGACTAATTCCACCTGCTTTGATGATGAAATGGACATTAACCCAGAGCTCTGGCTATAGGGGGATGAGGCAAGGATGAACACCCTAGGGAGATGCTTAGGATGCCTTTCAAAAATGACACTTTTCTAAAGTCTCTCCCTAAGAGCCTTGGGAGAAAGCACAGATGCAGGGAGTCTGAGGACCTAGGTGCTTGTTAGGACAGCTGTCAAGGGGCCTGCTGGTTGGGGGATCAGAGAGGAAGCCAAGCGGGGCCTACCGTGGCCATCGTCCAGGAGCTCAGTGAGGTACATGGCACTGCAGGGAGACCAGGGCAGAGTCTTGTTCAAGTGAATAAAGAGTGGCGCCATCATGTGGTGCTTTTCCATGGGCCCAAATTGCCGCACGCAGGGCTTGGAGTCATCATGGGGCATGCTGAGAACGTGCCCTGGGGAGTCAAAGAGACTAGTCTACTCCTCCACCCTCTGGCCACCTCAGCCCACTCCCCGTGCGGCCAGCAGTGCTGAGGACCTTGGTAGTGCTACCACGTACCAGCTCCTCACCCTACAGATGTTTGCTTCAGGACTCACCCTGGGCTTTTTCCTTCCAGGAAGCTTTTTCAGATGACTGAGGAGCGCTCGGACCCTTTTATTTTCTGCCTCTGCCTGTCCGAATTCACACCCATCTCTACTACTTTCCATCTAATGTGGCAGCCCCCAAGCCTTAGCGCTCAGTTTGCATACAGTATTGTGGCCCTTCCTCAGCATCTATTTCATGTTTGGGCACCTCCAGGCAACCTCTGATGGTGGCCCAGGACACTACTGAATGGAGTTAACAATGTCAAGCAGCGTATCTGTCTGTTGTATAATCATTGTGTCAAAATTAGGAGCAGATAGTGGTTAAGTGTGAGAGCTGCTCCTTTCTTGGGATCTGAGCAACTTTGGACCTGGAAGTGTCAGTTCCCTCTGTGTCATAAAGCAGGCCTTGGCATAGCCAGTCTTACCTAGCTCATGGGCCATGGTGTAGGCTGCCTGCAGGCCCTCGTCTTTGATCACGGAGCAGCTCATGCTGGGGTCACAGATCGTGCCAATGTCTGCCATACCTAGGGTGTTGCAGTGCCCGTCATTCCCACAGAAGTCCTGTGTGGCAGAGAGAGCTCATCAATGAGTGTGTGAGTAGCCTTCCAGACTAGAGGTAGGAGGCAGGGGACACATAGCATTACCCCACTCACTAGCCTGAGCATTGCTTGCATTTACTGAGCTTTTTTAAAGAGTGGGAAGCAAATGTAGGGCTTGATATCTGGGTATCTCAGCCAGTGATCCTGCATTATTTTCTGTCTTCATTATAGTCAGCATCATCACCCTTTGTCTTTCTCACTTGAAGAGTGACTTATGAAATTTACCATTGTTAAACGATATGTGTGCATGCATGTGTGTGTGTGCACACGCACACAGCTGTCAAGAGGGATTTGTGAGTGGCAGAGAACAGAAAAACGTCCTTCTGTCTTCCCATAGGCAGCTTGTGTAAGGGAGCCTGTTCCTTGTTCTGAGCTGGCAGTGTCTGAGGGCTGGCTGGGACTTCAAAGGCTTGTTTTGGGAGTCAGAACAGCACAGTGGTTCTGAGAATGACCCCATAGCAAGCGGGCTTGGGCTAGATTAAGGGTGCTGCCAGTGTGTGTCCTCTCTTTGCCTCGGTTTCCTCGGCTTTAAAATGAGGATAACACCATCCTCCCCTGTGGAATTGTGGTAAGGATGGAAGGGTGGACAGGACTGGCATACACGACCCTACTCTCCATCCACTTCTCTTTAGGAAGCCGTCCCTTTAAATCAGGCCAGGTAGAAGGGCAGCCCTCCCGCTTTCTGGAGATCTTGAGGAATCCCCAGCTACCTGCCTATAAGTTTAGCAACCACTCTAGGCAGAGCCCTTGTCCCACTTCCAACCCTAGATCTCTCCCCGGGCAGTTGGAGTCTGCTTCCTCTTGTTATGACCTCAGCAGACAGCTGGTCACAAACTTTTGGAACACTGCCCTCACAAGATTCCTCTCCTTCCCTTGCAAATACCTCCCACTTGTCCTCATGACCTCCTCCTCGTCATTCTAAGCAGGAAGCTTCTGGCATCCACTGAGGCCAGCAGGGAGACAGTTCTCACATCTGGCTTGGCCTCTGCCCCCCACCCCTTCATCTGTCTCTGTTCCCCCTCCTCTCTGTCTTCCAGAGCCGGCCCACACACCTGTCTTGTAAGCAGGATGGCTGTGTCATAGTGCTCTGGGTGGCGGTCGCTGGGCTTGTTGAAGGGCCGCTGCCAGCTGCAGAAATTGCGCAGTGTGAGCCCGCCGTTGTCTGACACCTCTGGGCCCCACTTTTCATCTTCCACTATAAGCACTTTCACCACAACAAGGTTGATGGCATTCTGAATGCTGGGGTGCTTGTAGATGCGGGCTGCCACGGACATCAAGGTCAGGATGTGGTTCTGTTGGGAAGGGGGTGGGGAGAGGGGTGAGAGGAAGTGTTCAATCTTACTGCCCCAGGGTGCTCATCGCCCTGGCCTCTTGTTGCAGGGCATTTACCTTGCTCATGCCAGGTCTGGATTGACCACTGAATTTATAGCATCTCTCTGAGGACTCACAAAATGCTTGAAGCCTCAGTGTTATTGTCCTTGACTTTGCATAGAAGAAATAAAGTCAGTTATTAGCCTAAGAGCACAAAGCTAATGCTTGTACAGCCAGCATTTGAACCCAGACCTGCCTGGCTTCAAGGCTTGTACATTAGCATTCAGGCTAGCCACATGTAGCTATCTAAATCCCTGTTCATTAAAATTTAATCAAATTAGTCACACTGGCCACACTTCAAGTGCACCAGTAGCTGTAGATGGCTGATAGTTTCTGTATGGAGCCATAGATAGAACATTCTTCCGGCTGCATGGCTTGTTCTGCTGCATCTCTGTGCACCACCCCTCCCTCTCCTTAGCCTCAGCACAGAAGCAATAACCAGAGTGATTAGTTTAGAGTTTTTGTCCCAGAACCCAGCTAGATATTTTCCTGATATCTGTTGAGGAAACGTCTACTCTTCAGGATGGAAATTGTTTCCCCTGAAAAGTTTTCTCTAAAAAGCACTCCCAGCAGTAGCTAACCTTTGCCAGCACTGGTCATGCTCAACACCCATCAACTCATAAAATTCTCACCGTAACGCCACCAAGTAGGCACTGTGATTCCGTTTTGGGAACCAGGCGGCGGAGGGTTATATAAGTTCAGTAACTTCTTGAAGGTCACACTGCTCTTAAAGCCAGGATGTCAGCCCAGGTGTGTCTGTCTCTGACATCCACACTTTTCTCATTAAATTTCCCAAGGCTTGGCTTGCTGGGTTCTGTCTGGACAGCCCCAAAGGGTTTGTTCCTGGGGCTTGAGAGAATTCAGAGGGCCTAATGAGAGCCATGTGTTTGTGAGATCCCACCTGCTTTCAGTTCCACCTGGGCCGGAAGAAGGAGCCCATGTCATTGCTTGGCCTCTGTCCTATCTCTGGGCTGCTAGACACCAAGACTTTGAGAGGAGGCCAGATGCAAGCTCACTCTCCTTCCTGGGGATCTCTTGACGTAGCCCTCTGAGACTGTTTTACATCTGTAGGGATAACAGGACAGAGGTGGGCATGCCTCGAGCCCACAGTGTGGCCAGCTGAATTGCTGCTGCTTGCTCTGCCTGTGTGCTTCCTGGATGACCACCTCCTATCAGCCTCTCTGTTCTCCTATGGCCTGGAAGGTGGGCGTGGAAGGAGAGAAAGGAGGGGGAAGGCTGGAGAAGGACATTCCATCTGGAAAGGCCATGCGTGGGCGTTCCAGACAAATCTCATTTTTTGTGAATGGGACCTGTCTGTTCACCTCGAAGGCAACAAGCCAGATATTTTGTTAGTCCTACAAACAGGGATTGGCAGGTTACTAAGCGAAGGTTACTCAGCATGTCAAGCACTCCAGTTATGTTTAGGCTGATATAAACATCTTATCAGCAGAGCTGAAACTTGGCATTTACTGTTGGATTTGGATTCCTAAGGGAAAAAAAGCAGTCACATCATTATGCAACTGGGGTGAGGGCTGAGGAATGGTAGCTTGCTGCAGCTAAGTCCTGGCCAGGCCTTCTTTGCTTCCAGGGGCCAGAAAGTCTTCTGGCTGCTCTAGGTAAGCACAGGGTTTGGTAGACAGGGACTATCTCCTGAAAGTTCTTCTGAGGCAACCCGTAACTGTCCTCACAAGATTTCTTCCTGTAGAGTCCTGATTCCACAGTCTGAAAATTGGGAAAGATCAAGTCTTTCAAAGACATTTTAAAGTCAAAAGATGTCCACTGCTATGTGGTGGTTAATGCAGCTCAGCACGAGGAACCGAAGACTTGAGGTTTACGTGGCCCGTTTGCCCAAGCTGGCCAGATCAGACTGGGGCTCCCTCCACAAGCAGTGATGCCACAGTCACATCCCCAGTGGTTACCAAAAGGGAATGACGTAAATCGCTGCATGGAGGCCAGGGTGAGATAACAGAAGTTTCCCAGCACTAGGGCTTCCAGCGAGCCTCCTTCTCTGCAGCTTAGGGAACTTGTATGATCTCCTTTTCCAGATACCGTGCAGCTGTCAGGCTGGGGCATTTTCCTTCAAGACTACGAGCTGGACTTGAAGACATCTGAAGATCTTTCTGGTCTTAGAAGATAACTTGCATTGTGACGGGGCTGCAAGGATTCCGTGATTCAATATTTGTTTCAGAGGCCCCAACTCTGATCTTGCTGACCTTAAGTGCTGCCTTCCCCACCATCTCCCACTCCTTGAAAACAAGAGCAAGAGACTTGTTTTGCAGTGTATCCCAGAGTTCTCCAGGGGAAGGACCACTGTGCTTGGGGCGGATACATCAGCTGAATCTGTGTCTCCCTTTCCACTCATCCCTGGGCTCAAAGGGTAAGCCTGGCTTATAGTTGTATGCAGAGTAGGCCTAAGAGCCAGTCAAGGAAAAGGTCAGATGGCTTGCTCCACCACCTGGCATCTATTTATACCTCCCCGCTCACCACATAAGTGTAGGCTGTGGGCTCAAGAATGTGAATGGGAGGTCCTGTCCCCCATGGGCTGGGGGCCCCAGCATAAGAGACAACCTCCAAATACCACATCAGGTTGGGAAAAGCCCATGATCTGCCTGGCCAGGGATGGCTAAAAATCCCTGCTCTTGAATGAATAGGAATCTCATGCCCTTAACTCTTTTTAGGGAAAGAAGATGTTTTGGGAGGCATCTCCTCCTCTGCTGGCTTCCTCCTCTTCCCAGTTAGAGAAAAAGGCTCTAACTGCTGGCTGGGGCACAGCCCGCTCTGAGATCCGAACAAGGAGATCCCTCACCCAGAGCTGTAGTGGCAGCCAAAGTGAAGCTTGGTGGGGGTGTGAGGGAGGCTGAAATGCCAAATGCATTTCTATGGCTCCTCTCCTCCTGGCCAGAGTTTCACTTTCTGCTCTTTGCTCATCCGGTTGTCATACTCAGGCCCTAAGGCTCCCTCTGTGGCCTGCCTGGGAAGCTGGGAGAAGAGTGGCAATGTGAAAACTCACCTGGTACCATCGCTCTACCTTCCTGGCATTTCTCTAAGGCATGAGACAGTGCTGCGGAGAGACAGTGGCAGTGCAAAGGAAGAGGGAAGGAGCAAGGGGAGGGAAGAGAGAGATTTGCATGAATATCTTCCATCTTGCCTTGTTCTCCAAGCAGCAAATGGTGATGTCACTTCTCCAGAGCACACCCCATGCAGAACTGTGAGTCAGCCCAAATACTAGGAGCTGGGGTAAGCTGAACAAGAATGACTCTGCCTTGTGGGCCAGCAAAGCTGAAACACAGTGGCTTGCACTCCAAGGGCATGTGGCCATCCCACCATCCTTGCTCTGATGAATGCTTTCCAGCAGCTCTAGCAATGGTTGTGACTAGTTGAACTGCTACGATGTACCTGGCACAGATCAGTGCTTTCCATGTTTTGTTGCATCCTCGAGACACTGTCAGACTCAGGAATAACTGCTTCTACGTTGTTGGCGAAGAAAAAGGTACAGAGAAATAGATAACTTGCTTAAGGACACTCAGTTAGTCCTACTTTCCACCCAAGTCTGTGCTCCTGGTCTCCGCACCACCACCCATCTTCGGTGCTACAAGGAAAGCTGACAGCCAAGACAAATTCAAAGCATGTAAGGAAGTGAGGCTGCCTCTGTCATTAACTATGCAACCTCACTTGTGGCTATTAAGATATTTTCTCTGGGACATTCTCTCTTTTTCATCATTCTGACTGTGGCAGGCACAAAGGATGGAAAAGACCCATTCTTTTGGCAGTGGGAAGAATGTAATTCATGCACATATAGCACTCGTCTTTCCCCCATAAAGACTTGTGTGTTTCTGCCCAAATCAGGATGCTCTTGACATTCAAAGACAGTGCTATTGGTCATGTCACCACAGGCATGAACTACATCTCTGCTGGCCAAATGAGGCTACGGGATCCCTTCAGTATGCGGGCTTATGGGAGACATTTGCTCCAGAGGACAGAGGTGAGGGGCAGGTGAAATGGCTGTGAACTTTTCTTAGAAATCAGGCCCTAAGGCCTGACTACTTGGGATGCTCAGGGCTGCCTAGGAAAGATGAGTACCACGCTTAGCTCTTCTCTGCCAAGCAGAAAATTCCAAGGCTCTGATTACTGCTGAGACATGAGGCTGGGACATGAGGCTGAGATGTCCCAGACAGAGTCTGGTGCATTGTACACTCACTCCGTCCTCTTCCAAATTCCTTCAGGGGACAAGCAGCAGTGGCCAGATGTAGACAGAGTCAGTGGATTCTGCTAAGGTTGTCCCTCCTTTCAGAAAGCTCCCTTTGTATGAGCTCCTTAACCCTGAAATCAGGTAAGAAGGTGGGAAGCAGGGCCCCCTTTTGTCAAGGGATTAAGTGAACTCAACTGTACAGAGTTCTGGAAGATTTCATTATCACTTAGCAGTGGCAGCTAAAATCAGTCTTGAGCATAGCTAATTTTTTCTTGTAACTTTGAAGGTGAAAGTGGCCTCTCAGGAATAAGGCTTACCCTTCGGCTGGGTATCTTGGACCGCTGGATTTCAGGACCCATCCCACAACATCAACAAGCGTCAGAGGGCAAAGAGAGTCACGGTCCTTCCTAAAGAGGCAGCGTGGTACAGTTGGGGTCAGGTTCGGGAGACCTGGGTTGCACATCTAGTCTGTCACTTACTAGTGTGACTTTGGGCAAGTCACATGAGTTGTACATTCCTCCTCGCCCCTCACAGGTATTGCCACTGAGGTCATGCTTGTAAAAGCACACTGTAAAGTGAACATGCTCAGTGGCCAAACTTTCTGGAAGACAGGCTCATCCCAAAGCAGCTGCACAGGCACTTAGAATAGAATCGATTACCTGGTCCAGGCATCTTGTACTTCTTAGAGGGTGTAGAGGCTCTTTTGATCATCATCACATCTCCAGCCCTGATTACTCTAAGATACCCCAAAGTACTTTACAGTTGTGTGAGTGAAGTCTCCCCAAGACTTCTCAGAGGATTGGGTGTAAAAAGATGGCTCTATCTGGGGGAAGTGGGTTGAAGAAGGCCAGGTTTGAGGGTGCTAGTACTTATTTTTCACTCTTTCTTCTACTAAGCTCATGGACCCGTTTTAAGAAACCCAAGGGGTTAAGCTGAGAATCTCAATGGCTGGTCAGAGGGGCCAATGGGAAGCCATGCAGACAGCTGTTCCTCAGCTCCACCCCACCCCAACAAGTGGGAGCAGGAGTGTGGGTGGAATGAGACACAATGAGACCAAGGTGGAGGGGGCAGTCTGGTCCAGCTGAATAAAGATTTCTTTTTGTATAAGACCTAGAAGTAGACTTCCCAGGGGAAGGAATGGAGCTTTCACAGATGCCTCACACCTGTTCTGCTGCCCTCTCCTGATCCAAGGTGGTTGCCTGGGTGAGGAGGTCCCTATGTGTGGCTGTCAATGCCCCAGAAACCTGAATGTAGAGGGAAAGTGGATGGGGCAAGCATGGATCATGTCCTGCAGCTAGGGGTCCCGTGAGAATGGCAGTACCCACATGGCTCTGACACAGCAAGCCCCCTTATCTGGGGCAGCAGCCTAGATTTCAAGTGGAAGTGAACAAAACCTGGTGCAGAACCCAGCTGAACCTCCTGTGATCAAAGCATGGCTGCTTCTGGACAGCTGTGATGTCTGCAGATGCCAAGCATGTCCTTGAGGGAAATACTCAGCATCTCCAGGGTTTAGGTGATGAGCCGAGAGAGTGAAACTGTAAGTAGGACTATGGGGGTGCATTTTGGCTCAGGAGACTGAAAAACTGACTTTCGTTCCTGTTGCTTTGCCATGAAGGCTAGCCTATGTTTTTGTTCTCAGGCAAATTTCCAAAATTGGCCGGCTTGGTAGGACAGCACCTCAGCTGTGTGGTCTGCATGAATGTATCTGAGATTCTTTCAGATGGAGCCCCCTGGAGCAGGAATGGTGGTCCCAGCGAGATGGGTGAAGCCCTCGCCTCACTCCCCTTAACCCCCGCCATCCTCTTGCTTGGGGAAAAGAATCAGAAGAAGTGGATGATGCCTCTCCCTGTTCTCAAGGTGGAGAGAGGACCCAATAAATCAGTGTTGGCCCAATGCTCACAGGGCAGACAGCTCTGTCTCGATGACATACAGTACTCCGGGAGAAATACCACAAAAGCTCAGTACCACAAAAGTGTCCAAGGGAGCGTCCCTGGGGTTTAACTGGCCCCTGCAGTAGCCAGAAGAGCAGCCACACGGACCTCTGGCCAGCAGCGCTGCCAGCCCCATCAGTCAGTTTCTGGCCAGATCTTTCTCCTTCTGCACTTCCCAGTGAGAGCAGGGGGTGGCGGTGGGGGGTAAGATCCTGCCAGAAGCAGAAGGCTAACCACTTCCTCATCTAGATTACGCTGCACAGGTAATGCCAATGTGTTTGGTGCCCTCAACAGTCTGGTACAGGCTGAGTCTAGAATGGGGTTACTGGCCAGGGATGCCATCACTGCAAAAGTGTTAACTGAGCTGCTGGGATGCCAGGATCCACTGCAGGGAACTGTGAACTCTGGCCAGTTCTCTAGCTGGCATATCTCTGGTTCTATGCCGCCTATGGGAAGAGAAAACACTGTCCTCTCCTGCATCCACAGCCTCTACTCCTCCTGGAAAGACAGTTGCCTGGTCTTTGGAGGAAGGCACTAGGGTTCAGGGTGATGCAGGGCACCTCTTGTTGAGTCAGTACCCTCTCTGCATCTGGTTAGCAATGGCCTGGCTACAACATCCATCCCTTAGGCCCAGTTTTTCTGTACTGGCTGGTCTGGGAGCTGAGTCTGAGCCAAGGGTAGCAAGGTGGACCCAGCCCAGCTCTGACTCTTCCAGAGACCTTAATTGCAAGTTCATTCTACTCGCTGCTCCCACCTCTTTTCACTGAAACTTCAGTTGCCAGGCCTGAGCCCCCAGGCAGAAATTCTGTTCCCCTCCCTCCTTGTGCTGGATGCTGGCACTGCCAAGTTCTGCCAGGCTGACTGCCAGGTTGGCAAGGTAGTCCATGCAGCTTGATCAGAACCAGCTGGGCGCACAGAAGTTAGGCAGCCCCTTTCCAGGTTCAACTCTCCTCAGACAATGTCTTTTACTCATGACAATCTCAGTTCTGTACCCGAAGGAAACCAAACAGCCACCTCTTTCCAGCCCAGCTGTGCTTCCCTGGGAGCCTCTGAGACCCCCGACAGCAGAGACCGCAGGAAATGGGGGTGGGGTGGGGGTGCTCTCCCGAAATGTGCAGTTTCTATCCTGATGGGAGAGGCAGGTGCCTGGGAGAGGGTGTGTTCAAACCCACTTTCGGTTCGGTTGCCGGGAGCTGCGGGAGAGTCAGGATGAGGACACAGAGAGGAGCGACTGTGGGTAGGAGGTAGGAAGCCAGGATGACACATATGAAGAAAGTCCCTGCTGTTTCTCAGAAAGCAAAGAATCTCATTAGGGGTCAGCTTGGGAGGGTGAAGATCTCGCTGCCCCCCATGGTTGGGAAGGGAGGACCGAGAGCCGCGGGAGGCTCCAAGCTCCTACCTGCAGGTCTGCGCTGTAGAGGGCAGCCATGGACGCGTCGGCCACCACCAGCGTTTCCACGAAGCGAGCCTCAGACACGGACCGCCTGGTCCTGCTCGTGGGCCCCGAGGTTGACGGCAGTTCGCGGGCGCCGCCTGCCTCCCTGCTGTCCTCCTCTTCGTCGCCCTCCTCTGGCTCGTCGTCTTCTCTCTCCAGCCCCTCGCTGGCCGCGGGGCCCCAGCGCCGCAGGAGGTGCGGCTGGTCCAGGGAGTCGCCCGCGCCCTGCGGCTGGACGGTGAACTCCTCGCCGCCCACCAGGAAGGAGCCGCGCAGCCCGCGGCACAGGCTGACGGCCGCCAGCGACGCGGGCTCCCGGTTCACCGTACCGGAGAAGAAGCAGCCGCGCAGCCCGCGCTCGGCCCGGGCCGCCCCGCCGGAGCCCCCGAGGCGCTCGATCTTGAGCTCGGGCGCCAGGAAGCTGGCGTCGGGCGCCAGGCGCAGCTCGAAGCCCTGGCCAAAGGCGGACAGGTGGATCGCGAGCTCGT